GAATTGATTTCTTGAAAATGAAAAAAAAAAAAGTTTTCCCCCCCGTTGTTCTTTGATGTATCCACAAACCAAACCAAAAAAAAAAAAAATTCTCTCTCTTTGGTCAAACCCAAAAAAGAAGAAATATTCATAGAATCGATCGATTTGCAACCTTTTAGAAGATGGATGAGTTTGACAAATATTTTTTTCTATCAATTTTTTTTTGACTTTATATTATACTAGAATCTGTTTTTACAATGAAAAAAAGAGATTCATTGTAACAACAGATTTAACACTGGTTTGCATACACACAAACAAACACACACACACGCACACCCAAAAATCCAATTGGCCATCATTGTCAATGACATGTCAAATTGTGATTGGAATTAAAAAAAAAGAAGAGAATCGAAAGATGAAGAAGTTTTTATAGCAACTCAATAGACTGAATATATGTAATAAATGTGGTTGAAACAAAAGAGAGAAACTGATCATCACTGTATATTTTTTCATTAATGACTCCACCTCCTCATTTTAGCAAATCATTCATCCCAAGAAGAAAAAAAAACTTTGATAAGAATTTTTCAGAAACAAACTTTTTTTCTGGTCCTTTTCAATTTGTGTTTGTTCATATATTGGTATTCCTATTGGTTCTTGTCATTGATATTCTTCTTTTATTTCATTCCACTAAAATGATAATTGTTAATGTGAATAATTTTCCTTGTCTCTTTCAACAATATATTGAATTTTTCTTTTTCTAATTTGTCAGTCAATCAAGCTTAGATTTTTATCTAGTCATTTTGTTACCAATAATAATATGTCATCATTGAAAATGAATGTTCAATTCTTTCTTCTTGATTCGAAGAGAATATATTATTCTTCTAAGGCCTTTGGCCATCATTCGTGATCATAATAATTCATGATAATAATGATAATAATATTAATGATTGGCTATTTGAATATAATAAGCTAACAAATTTCTTATAACTTATTATTGAACATTGATTGAATTTTCAATCAAACGAAGAAAACAAAACAAAAAATAGAAAGAAAATGAATCGAGTTGATGGAAAAAAAGATTTTCGTTTGCCATTTTAGCAATCATCATTATCATGATTATCGAAACTATAGAGTTTCAAGCAAATAAGCAAACGAAAAAAAAAACACTTATATAGTTTTTTCGTTACGAAATCGAATTGATTAATCAATCACATCACATTTCAATGATAAAATTCATAATTTGAATAAATGATCATATATTACTTTTGTTTCATCGATTTGGAAATAACATTTTTTTTAATGTAAAAAAATTTGCTTATCACTTACTGGCACGAATATGAACATCAAGACTTTGAATTGATCCAGCTTGATTGGCAGCTATACAACGTACAATACCCGAATGAACATCCTGTCTATATGTTGATGCTGAAAACGGTAAATATACAAGCTGTGTTGTTAGTAAATCTTTACGTATTTGCCGTATTCCAGGTATCTGTACTAATGGTGTTCCATCTGCTCGTGTCCATGTTATTGTTGGCGCTGGTATTCCTAATCATTTTCAATTAATAATTATTCTGTTTATTAAACATCTAAATTTACCTTTGGCACTACAGGTTATAATACTTCCTGTATCATTTAAAAATATCACCAAACTAGGTGGTTCAACTAAAAATTCTGGTCCACGTTTTTCTGGTTGAATTTTATTTGATGATAATGATAATGATTGTGATAATGCAGCTTGAGCTTTATGCGAAAAGAAGAAGAAAAAAATGAAACCAGAAAAAAAATTTAATGCTCATAATAATAGGTTCTGATTTATTTTTCAGGATACAAAAAAAATGTCAAAAAATTTAAAGTTTGTTATCAAACTATATTAAAAACAATACAAGAAAATGAAAATATTGCATTTATTATGCACATGATCATTATTGTAGAGAGAATTTAAATTTCATCATTAATTTTCATCCCGCTGGAATTATACTGAAGAACTACTGTTGTGATGCTCAAATAACAAATTAGCTATGCATTTACAGGAATAAAATGACAAAAGAATTTATATTTTATCAGTTAGTTTTTTCTACTAATGATTATCATAATGATGGTAATCATAATGATGATGATGATGAAGTCTTAAAGTTTTACTTTTTCAATTTTTCATTTAGATTTTTTTATAGTGGTAAAATAAATTAATGTATTTGTGCTTTGGTTGAAAAAAACCCAAAAATGACAAACCAGTGAAATTTTTTTCCCCTCAACTAAAATCAAGTCAAGTTAGATTATTTCTTAAAGTGAAGTGAATAAATGAAAAAAACAATTAATATTAGTTAAGATATGTGGTAATATTCAGGAAAGATTCCCAACAAAAAGAAGAAGAAAAGACCTTGTTAGCTTGAATAAGTTGTTATTAAATACAATGGCTTAATATGAAGTGAATAAATTTCATATTCATTTGGGTTTTCTTTACTCTAGCTTTATTTTTCTTGTTTTTATTTATCTCTATTGTGAAAAATGAACAAGGATTCACTAATTAAATTGTTATTAATCATCACCACAAGCCTTTCTTTTCATCGTTTCAGTTTCGTTTTTTTGGCTGCTTTGGTTATTCATTCACTTATATCTTGAAAAAAAAATCTTGAATTTTCTTTTCTTTTCTTTTTTCTTTATTTTTGGTACAAAATCCTTTTTCATTTGGATTCTTGGATTGTAAGAAAAATATTTATGAATCTGATCGTTTGGTTCTATCAATGTTTTCAGTTGTTGTTTTGTTAATATTATTATGATGATGACATATACATTCAGGGATCAACATTTCTATTCGGATGTCCTCGACATTCTGTTTTTTTTTCTCAAAAAGAAAAACCATCATATCATTTCTTATCATAGCTTCTCAACATCTATAGGATTAATATTTATTTTATATTGCTAATAATAATAATAATAATAATAATGCATCGAATTAGTTTCATCATCATCATTTCATCAATTCATTTCGATTCGAAATACAATTTTGTATCGAATTTAATGTTTCTAACAAAATTCGTATCGTTTCTCTGTTGTAGTTGTAGGTTGTCGAAAAACGAAAAACATAAAAAGTCAAAAAAAAAACACTGGGATTAGTTTGGATTTAAAACAAGAAACAAAATTATTAAATTAAGTATTTCTTTTAGACAGTTCAAGATTTCGATAAAAATTTATACAATTTGATAGATTTATAATATGAAAAGAATCAAATAAGAAAAGAAATAAAAAAAAATTCTATATACCTTGTTTATGATGAAATATTACATTCAAAATGGTAATAATTATAATTGAAAATGATGATAATGATGATAATAATATTCTATCGTTTGATGTTTTTTTGTTCATTAAACGTTTTTTCATCTTTTTCTTCATTTCTGTTTTGATTTTTGTTGTTGGTGCTGATGTTGTTTATTTTGTTCGATCTAATTCGATCAATAAACTTATTGATATTCATTCATTCTAATATTATTCATTTTTGGTATGCAAATTTTTTCTCTAATATAAATAAATTGTTTTTGCATTAGAGTAAAACAAGGAAAGAATAATGAAGAAAAAAAAACAATCAGATTTTTCTTGCTTGCTGTTGAATTGAATTTCAAATTTTGAACTTTCAATCATGTAAATCACTTAAATTTGAACATCAAATGTATGGACACGAAAATGATAAAAAAAATTTGTACCAAAAGAATTTGTCACATTTTTGTTGGGAAAAAATCTTGCTTGCAATTTATTCAGTATTCGAACATACATACATCATTTGACAGATTGAAAAAAATTTATAAATATTTTAAAGCGAAATTTTATTTTATTTTTTCGAAAAAAAACCCATTGAATCAAATGAATATCAATCGGTTTTTCAAATTGCTTTGTTTTCATCGATAATTTTTCAAAACAAAACAAGAAAATATTTGATCCACACAATTCTGTCGTTAGATTCCAATGTGCTTACGATGCAAGATCATTCACCGAACAAGTCTAAATGTTTACTGAGATTCATTTTTATTGGCGCTCTAATTTTTTTCTATCACTTCACGAACTTGAATCGAAATAGATTTTGGATATTGTTTTTTGGGACTTGCGTCGTCAAAAAATTCTGCCGGTTGCTACACTGTTATATAAAATAATATGAGTGTGTAGCTTTTATAATGAATTTTTTTGCACCACTAGCAATTTTTGTTCATTTTCTTTTCTTATTCTGGAATTCCTAGTTATCTGAATGATAAATTTCATAATAATAATAATAACTTTATTCAAGCGATTATCTTTTCGGATATTCACAAAATGATAAAAATTTACAAATTATCAGTTTTGATATGGGAAAGATGTTCGAAAAAAAACATCCACATTGGTTACCTGTTATAAACACAGATAATCTAGTTTAATTTCTGCTCAAACTGTCCACCCAACACCATCATAAGTGATTTGTTGCACACGAACTTTTTTGGTTTTTGTTTGCTAATTTACTACCAATTCGATGAAATATGAAACAAAAAAAAAGTATTGCTAATAATTTCTGTAACTTATTCGCATTGGCGCGATTTTTTTCAACTAAAATTCTTTTCTTTGAATGTTTTTAAACAAAAAACAAACAAACAAATGAATGAATACTGCTAAATTTTCAATTTAAACTAATCATAAGATATCAATCTATTAAGATTCATTCATTTGGAATTATAAAAAAGTTTCCTGAAAAAAACTCTTACATTTTCATTGTCAAATTCAGCAAACATTTTTATCACTATTAGTTTTGAATCATATTTTTTTTTTGTTTGTCATAACTTTATGGATCAAATCTCAAATATCGTTAATAGTTTTGTTTTGTTTTGTTTGTTTTGTCTGGCAACTTCAAAAAAACGACAATCGCATTTCAGATGAAAAAACTTTTCACTTTAAAAAAAGATACTTTTTTAAAAAGACCTGTTCTCAGTGATCTGAATTCTTTTTGCTATTTTTGCCGTTGACGACGACGAAGGCAAAGATAATAACGATGATTTTTAAAGAGAAAAAACAAAGACTTTAAAATTTGAAGTAAAGAACAAAAAAAAGTCGCAATAACAAAATTCCTGTGACTAAATTGTTAAAATGAATTGGAAGACTTGAAATTGTTTTGAATTTTTTTCTTATATTTTTATAAATATAATTTCAATTTTCATATAATATTCCAGTCACGCATCAAACATCTTACATATCGTATCCAGGTATGAATAGTTTGAATTTATAAATCATTCGTGTTGGTCAGTTATAAAAATCAATTTTTCGTTTTTTTTTCTCACTGAAATTCCAAATATTCTCATATTATGACTGAGCAAACATTTATTTTGCTGATGTTTTTTCTCATTTGATTAGATACAAATAATAATAATGATCATTCGGATGTCATGTTTTATGTTTGATTCAAAAAAATTCAAGTAAGTGAAATATTTCCGGATTATTAACACATTGATTTTGTTGTTGTTTTTTTTATAAAGTACAGATTTGAATGATACAAATCCTTGAAGGCATGTTGAAAATGTTTTTTTTTCTTCTTGCGTTTTGTAATGTGTACAAAGAAAACAAGACAAACACTTTTAGAATATTTAATCGTAAAAGTGAGAATCACAATCTGAACCACTCGCATAATAATAATCTTGGGTAATATCATCAAAAACCACAGCAACCACCGTCATTTTCTTATTTTCATAATGATTTCCGAATGTTTATTGTTGTTATAATTTTCGCATATAATAATAATAATAACAAATAGCCACAGGAGACAATTGAAAACTTGTCAAATAATGTTGAACCAATATTTTATATTTATTTTTTTCTCGAATCGAAAGATATTATAAAAAAAACTATCCATCACTATAGATGAAGAATACGTTTTTTTTTTGTTCATAGAATAATAGTTTTGGTTTTTGTTCAATGGCCATCAGTATTTTATTCCTTTTTTTCATTGAGAGATCGAAATTTTGGACCAAAATAATAATAATAATTCCTGAAATCTAGTCGAAAATCATTGCTAATGATGATGACGATTGTATTATGGTATGTATAAACATTTTTTCGGCTAAATTAAGAGAGAGAGAAAAAAAATCTGAACATCTCTCGGGTCTGCACACCCATTCAACCATCCATCCATACATCCACCCACATAACAAATGCACAACAAAAAAACTCACGTATATATCATTGATGTGATTGCCATTTAGTTTGATGGCCAAACGTGTATTATGGTTTTCCAATTTTTTTTCTTCATCTTTCTTTCTCTTTCTGTATTTGTTTCTTATAAGAAGACTTAGGTCTTTTTTTTGTATACACACACACCATCATTTGGCACATCTGCTGCCCGATTGATGCCTGCTGTTCATTCATTTGAATCATTTTCCAGCCATTTGATTTTTCGATTGGAAGAGATTCTTTTTTTTGAAAAAAAAAGAATTTCTTATTTCCATCCAAAGAAAAGACGATTCAATTCTTGATATATTCTTTTTGATTCTTTCCTGTTCAATATATCTATTTTTGAGATTTTTTTTTCTTATTTTCAAAATTCGGTTTCAATTTTTTTCTCTTTTTTTTAGAACGATGAACCTTTACCGAAAGATTTTATTTTTTTTCAACTAAATACAAAAAAATGGATAAAAAAGAAAACAACCAGCCGTTACCCAAAGAATCGGTTACCATTGAATCAATTTTTATTTCAATTTCTCACATCTTCTGCAGAAGCACTACGCACACATACATTATACCGAATCTTACTCTAGTTTCTTCCTTCCTGTCTAGTTGGTTTTTATGTATGTTTTTCTCGTAGAGACAGCAAACATCTCCGCACACACTTACATTTACATTCATATGAATGAAACAACTGAAATTGAAACATTCATTCATTCATTCATTTACCAATTCAATTCAAATTCGTTACTAGTATATTTTTTTCTCTGATTCGATACGATGATTTGTTGTTGTTGTTGTTCACGTCCGTTTGTCTTGGTCTTTTTTTTTGTCTATCCAAAATAAATTGTATGAATTTTTTCGTTCTCAATGATTCTATTGATAATGATAATGATGGCTCTCATCATCATCATTGAAATCGTTTGATTCAGTTGTAATTCAATTTGTTCGCTTTATTTTTGCTCTCTCTCCCTTTCAATACCACTTAATTTAGACTTGATTTTTCTTTTTATTCTCAGCAGAACAAATAATTTGAAAATAAATGATAAGTACAAATCAATCGTGAAAAAAAATCTATGAATTCAAACAGAATTTGTTACAAAAATAAACAAAATATTAACCTTCTTTTTCCAAAATTAATAATTATGTTTCTGTGTTGATCGATTATTAATATTTTTTATTTTTATTTCCAAAGTCATCATTATAATTTTCAATAATTTATTTTCATTTTCAACATAATTATATTTTTCCTTATTATCAACGATTATCGATCATCAATCACATCGAATATTGAAAAAAAACTGATTGAATCAATCAAATCAGATAAATGAAGAATCTGTGCAAATAAATTTACACATTACATCAATACATTCAATATCATAACATGGTAAAATATTTTCATCATCATATCCAATAATCAATTTTCTATCGTTTCTATTCATCAATAAAAAAAACTAAATGATATTTTTCTTCAAATAAAATCAATGTGTTTTTTCTTTCTTTCTTTCTTTCATTCGAAACAAAATGAAAAAGAAAAGAAAAACACACACACATTGATTGTTTACGTTGACATTTATTTTTCTCCTATGAATTATGTTGAGAATTTGTTATCGATTTGTACTCAAAATAATAATAATAATAAAATCGATACATATGTCATTTATAAATCTAAACAAACAAACCAAACATTTACAAAGATGGATGAAAAACAAAACTTATCTATAAAATCGAATCTATCCGATGACGGGAATATAAAATAAATTTAAAAAAAAAAAAATGTTTCATTTCATTTCATTTCTTCAATTCATTCTGTTGTCATTCTATTCGATTCGTATTTCAAACCACATTTTCAAAAAAAAGAAAGAAAAGAAAAGACATTTTTTCGGCTGTTGTATTTTTAGTATTTTATGCGTGTGTGTATGTAATATTGCAATTCGAGGAATGAATCAAATGTAAATGTTTCAATAAACGACAATGATTGTCATCATCATCATCATCATCTAGATTTTACAATCTAGATCTAGATTCTGGATTCTAGATCTTGCCCACCAACAAATAGATGATAATGATGATGATGGTGGTGATGTTATAACATAGAATGACAAAAACGAAACGAATTTGAAACTTAAACGACAATGACGATCATGTTGATGATGATAGAAAAAAATTGAAAAATATTTTCACACACAATCAGATACAGATAGGCAAACCAGGCAAAATAAAATGCAATTTTTATTCCACACATATACGGAATTCTGTTATACCATTTATGTTTGTGTGTGTGTGTGTGTTGTTAATGTCGTCTTTGTCATTTTAAAAAAATATTTCGTATAGTATTCGGTTTTAACAACAACAAAAAAAAGCTACACTGCCGTTATTGTGTTGAAAAAACCGAGTAACATTTTTTTCTCAACAATCAACCAAAAAACGAGCGACATTTAAATTCATTTTTTTATGAAAGAATGAAAAAAAACAATTTCTCTCCCCATCTCTCCCCTATTTCACATCTTTCGGCAGCATAAAAATGATGGATCAAAAACAAGGGCAAGAAAAAAACAGAATAGAAATTAGAAAAAGAAATATTTTTCCTGCCCATTCATTCTCAAAGTGATACACCATGATTCTGATCGTTTGTAGATTGTTGATCGGTTGGTTGGTTGGTCGGTTGTCATTTTTATTTTTATTTTTTATTTCTTTTTTTTCAAACATTCATATCAAAACATTGAAAAATCAACCGAGCAAAAATTCCAAGTTGGACGACAAATAATGGAATTGATGATGATGATGACGACCGAAACAACATTTCAACTTGCGTCTGATTCGTGTAAGTAATAATATTCTCTGTGTAAGTGGATATGAGATGTTTCTTTTTTTCGAGAATTCTTTACTCATCATGTTCATTTCAAAATACGAAATGGTTTTAGATGAATCGACGAGATGAGTATCACATCTATAGCCACATATATTTGATGATGATTGCAATGTTTAAATGCCAATAATGACAATGACAATGATGATTTAGATTTCCTTTTGTTACAGACACACATATTGTATTTGTAACATCTATCCATCCATCCAAGTAAACTTTCATCTATTAAGAATCACATAGTCATTTGTATTTACCATTTTTTCTCCCCATTATCCATTGATGAGATTTCATCTTAAGAATGGTTATTTGTTCAAAATCATCGATATCTATCGAAATGATGATGATAATATATAAAATGAACAAAATGTGATCATCAAAATAGTATTGAAAAACAAACAAAAATTTATTCGTAATGATAATGATTCATTTTTGATGATGATATTTCTTTTTTTTCTCTCGGACATTTGTATATTGAATTCGTTGATCATTGTATCCCATTCATTCCAGTTTATTATATTCGTATATGATATTTCGAGTCCATTTTCTTCAAAATCGAAAAAAAAGATAGAAAATCAATTTATTGTTCATGTTCATCAATAAAAAGAATGTTCCTTTTGCACTCACAAAATTATCTCAAAATGAACCATGATCCACGACAATCTTATTAATTCTTCATTATTAACATTTATTCAGATTTAATGTTCAGATTTTTCTGCAAAAAAAACATTGTTTAAAATGTTTAAGATTTTTCTTGGAAATAGGAGAAAAATTGATCCAAAATACGAATAGAAACAATCAATAACAAAAAAAAATCCATCAAAAGACAAACGTATAGAATCTCTGTTGGTGACAATTTTCTTATTTAATCCAAAATATATTCACTGTCTTTTGTTGCAGCCTAGGCTATGATGATGAAATGTAGAAAATTCAATTCTCATCATCATTTTGTATGAACTTTAACAATACCTTGTTTTATTTTTTGTTATTATCATTGTGTGATTGAATTTTTGTTTTGTTTTGTTTTCGCTTGCATAAGTCTCTTTATTTTTCTCTATCTATCAACTGTTATTTTAACACCTACTTTGAACGAAAATTTCCGAATCACAAAAAAAGGGATGTTTTTTTTGGATGGATGTGATTTCTCATTTCAATATCGAATGTTATTATGATGATGCATATTGTATGCATGCATACATTCATCATTTATTATTATTTTTTTCTGAAGATTTTTTTTCTTCACTGTTATTTTCATCACTGGATATAATGAAGTCTTTTTTGTTGCTGTTTAGAATCTAGGTTTTTTTTTCACCAAAAAAAAAAAAGAAGAAGATGTGGATGTACATACGAACAACAACAACAAAGACAAGTCTCGAATATATGAAAAAATGAAAGAAAATTAATCAACTTTGGTGTTGGAACCCACCAAAATGAACATGAGACAATGACATTTAGAATGGAAAGAAAAGAAAAGAAAAGAAAAATGAGATGAATAGAGACAAAAAAAACGTCATCATCATGCAAAATGTATGTTTTCTTTTCGTCTCTTTTTTTTGTTTGGAACCACACAGAATGTAAATCAAAATCAAAATAATAATAAAAACAGCAAAAAAAATTGCAATATACAAAACAATAGTGAAAATTGGCGGAAAAAGAAAAATTGTGACAACATCAAAAAAGAAAAAGAAAATTGCCAAATAATTAGCTCTATATATAGAATATACGCCCACCTATAGCCATCATTGTAAATAATAATAATAAATTTGATGTGTGTGGCTCTGATTTGTCGTTTTTTTTTTTGTTTTGTTTAATTTGATGAGATGACATCACAAAAGATGTTTGTTCTACATGTGCATTATGAATTGAATTCATTCATTTATTCTTATTATGATTCTTTATATTTAATGTAATGTATTATTTGTTTTCTGTTTGTTCAGATTTAATAGTGAAAACAGTTTTTGCACCTTTTGAACAGTTTTTATTTATCATCATCATCACGGTGATGATCAACATTCCATCATAAAGTTTATTCTTTTTATTTTTATTCTCTCTATGATGTTTGAATCGAATTTACCATCATCATCATCATGTTTTTTCTTTGGATCATTGTTTCAACATTCATTCATTTTTTTTGTATGGAATTTTCCTGTTGTCTTTGGTGATAATCAATA